CGCCCCCTCGCGCGCCGTCCCGCCCCCTCGCGCGCCGTTCCCGCCCCCTCGCGCGCCGTCCCCGCCCCCTCGCGCGCCCTCCCCGCCCCCTCGCGCACCCTCCCGCCCCCTCACCCACGCTCCCTGCCCCGGCCTCCTAGGACCGAGGTGGAACTGGCAGATGGAAAGGTCAAGTTTGAGCCCCCCCGGGGCATTCCAAGAAGAGCGAGGCCGTTTCCTCCCGCCCCAGCCCTTCACACAGGAGGACTGGGGTGGCGTGTGTCGCCTCCTGACGTGGTGCCCGTCCCTGCTGGGGTCTGGCCTCTGGCTGTGGTGGGCCAGCCCTCACCCTGCTCACTGTCCCCCTCCCCGGACAGGGCACTGGACTTCGGGTACCTGACCCAGGACATGATTGATGACTACGAGCCGGCCCTCATGTTCAGCATCCCCAGGCTGGCCATCGTGTGGTGAGTGCCCCCTGCGCCTGCGGCCTCTGCAGGAACCTGCGGACGGGCAGAGCTGACGGTGCCAGGGCCCGGGTGGGGCTGGTCCTCGGTGCCTGCCACCCCACCGTGGCTGTCCGCTGCCCCAGGTCAGTCAGGCAGGCCGGCTGTTGGCCCTCAGTGGATCGGGGCCACGTGTCCTGTGTGCCCCTGTTCACTTTGCTGGTGAGGGAGGGAGGCTCTGCCACCTGCTACCTGCCACTGGACAGGTGAGATCCATGAACTCTCAATAGTCACAGGAGACCATGAAGGTCACACGGGGTCACACCCGGAATCGAATGGCCACGCAGGGGCTGTGGGAGGTGGACTTGGTGGTCACAAGAGGAGGAGGTAACCCCCGGGTCCCTCGGGAGGATGCAATTGGCTTGCTTGAATAATTTGGGGGCTGCCAGGGAGGTGACGTGCATTGGGTGAAGGGCAGGTGGGGGCAGTCGACCTGGCTGGCGGGGATGCCTGCGCGGAGCCTTCCTGACAGCGGGACCTGCCGGGTAGAAAGGGGACCTCCAGGCAGCCTGCACAGCCGTGGAGGTGGGTGGGGCTCTAAGACATGAGGACAGCGCACCGAAACTTAGGCCTGAAATTCACCCAGGCAGGAGGCATTCACCTACTCAGCATCTCTGAGCTGCTTGGGGACAAGGTTGGAGCCCAGGTGTTCTGGGGCTTGGCCCACGCTGCCCAGCCACACCGTCTCCAGATGGGATTCCCCATCCCCCTGCTAGGCAGGTGGTCCCGGGCGCAGAGGAGTGAGTGGGCCACAGAGAACTTAATGAAACTTTGCAGCTGGGGAGGGCGTCCAGTGGGCATCGGCCTGCTGTGTTGGACTGGGCAGAGTGGGGTCGGGAGCCCTCGCGAGAGATGCCCTGTGGAGATGCGGATGTCAGTGAGGTGGTCCAGGAGTGTGGGTGGGCACAGAGGCCAGGACTGGTCCAGGCTCAGGCCATGGAGAGACCTCACTGAGACCATGCTGAGGACCCCGGGGACCCTAGGGCACAGGCACACGTGGCAGTGCCGCGTTCAGCAGTTGAGCATGGACACCCCCTCTCGTGGGAAATGGGGGTGAGAGGTGGGCGCAGGTGGAGCAGTGGCGGTGCAGTGGGCTGGGTCCCTCAGCGGGGCCTGCGGGGGACGGAGGGACTTCACCCTGAGAAGCATCGAACACCCCTGTAGGAGCGGCAAGCCAGGGGGGGAGTGCTGCTGGGACGAGTCCAGACCCGTGGGCCAGGCCGCCTGCTCAGCTAGGCCAGCAACGAGGCGGCCTTGAGGGAAGTGTCCTGGGTGCCATCTCCTCAGGGAGGGCTCCTGCGTGGTCTCTGATCTGCCGGCACTGCTCCCCGGAGCCCCCTCCCATAGCTCTGCGCCTGGCCTGATCCTGTGCTGTGCTCCCCCAACCTCATCAAGGTGGCATCTCTCACAAAGTCAGCAAACCAGAGGGAGGGAGCCTCGGAAATCCTCCTCCCACGTTAGAGTCAGAGACCCTCCCTTTGCCTGAAGACCTACGGCTGGGGGGCAACTTAGAGGGAGTGTCCTGGCGCCAAGAGGCCACTTGGGCACAGAGCGCCTTCCCAAGGCCACAGAATTTGGTGACCTTGTTTTTCTTTTCTAAGCAATTGTCTCTTTGAGGCCACACTCACTTTGAAGAAAATGACAGGCAATTTTGGTCCTTATTCTTCTCTTTGTTTAAAAAACAGAACACCAAAAGCAATGTCAATAAAAGCCAAGATAGACAAATAGGATCTAATCAAACTCCAGAGCTTCCGCACGGCAAAAGAAACCATCAGTAGAGTGAACCGGCAACTAAGATAATGGGAAAAAATTTTTGCAGTCTACTCATCTAACAAAGGGCTGATATCCAGAATCTACAAAGAACTAAAACAGATTTACAGGAAGAAAACAACCCCATTCAAAAGTGGGTGAAGGATATGAACAGACACTTTACAAAATAAGACATACATGAGGCCAATAAATATATGAAAAAATGCTCATCATCTCTGGTCATTAGAGAAATGCAAATCAAAACCACATTGAGATACCATCTCACGCCAGTTAGAACGGTGATCATTAAAAAATCTGGAGACAACAGATGCTGGAGAAGATGTGGAGAAATAGGAACACTCTTACACAGTTGGTGGGAGTGTAAATTAGTTCAACCATTGTGGAAGACAGTGTGGCAATTTCTCAAGGACCTAGAAATAGAAATTCCATTTCACCTAGCAACCCCATTACTGGGTACATATCCAAAGGATTATAAATCGTTCTACCATAAGGACACGTGCACACGAATGTTCATTGCAGCACAGTTTACAATAGCAAAGACCTGGGACCAACCCAAATGCCCATCAGTGATAGACTGGACAAAGCAAATGTGGTACACATACACCATGGAATACTATGCAGCCATAAAAAACGATGAGTTCGTGTCCTTTGTAGGGACTTGGATGAATCTGGAAACCATCATTGTCAGCAAACTGACACGAGAACAGAAAGCCAATCACTGCATGTTCTCACTCATAGGTGGGTGTTGAACAATGAGAACACATGGACACAGGGAGGGGAGCATCACACACTGGGGGCAGTTAGGGGGGTAGGGGAGAGACAGCGGGGGGTGGGGAGGGATAACATGGGGAGAAATGCCAGATATAGTATGCACCTAAAGTAAAATTAAAAAAATAAGATAAAATAAAAATAAAAACAGAACAGCAAAGATCCTGTGAGCTGGCCTTGTTTCCACCGGGCAGGTGCAGGGGACTGTGGGCCTTCCCCTCAGGAACAGGCGGCTCCTTGTCCCAGGGCACCCGCAGCACCATCAGCTGCGCTGCTGTCCTATAAAGCTCCTGGGAGGGCTTGCCCACGCATGCCCATGCCCACGCGCCAGGGGACCCTGGCTGGACTTCCTCTCAACGGTCGGGTCTGCCGCATGCAGGTGACCCTCCCGCGGTCTGCCCCCAGGCACACTGTGCTTCTGGACTTTCACACTGAGCCTGCTCTCCCGAGTACAGAATTTGCCCGAGTACAGGTGACCGCAGGACAGTGGCCACTTCCCCCAACCAGTGTCATCTATGCCCCATTTGCCCACCTCAGTCCACCCGCTGGTGGCCAAACCTCTGCTCTTCCTTCTGTCCTAAGCCCTCATCCTGGGAGATGGGGGGGAGGGGAGGTGGAGGAGGCAGGGGGAGATGGGGGGCGACCGCGGTAGGGAGACCAGGGGAGGGAGGTGGGGGAGGTGGGGAGCAACTGGGGGAAGGATGTGGGGGGGTGCAGGGGGTCAGGGAAAGGGGACAGGGGAGGCCAGTGCAGGAGGAGGCTGAGGGAGAGAGGTAGAGGAGGGAGGCTGGGCCTTCTGTTGGAAGAGGCTTTGTCCCGGGGTTCCCCTCCTGGAGGCACTGGTGTGGAGTCCCCTTGGGCTCAGGACAGAGGGAGGGCCTGTAAAGGGAGCCAGAGACCCCCCCAGAGGTGAAGGGGGCTTGGAGTGCACAGGTGGGAGGAAGGCCAAGCCAGCACAGGAGCCCGGAGTCCAGGGAACAACGCGTAGGAGCCCACAGCCGGAGTCCAGGGAGCAGGACTTTCCAGTGGGGTGGCCAGCTTCGAAATCCCCAGAAGCAGGCATCTAGCTTCGAGCCAGGCTGTGGATCCGAGGAGTGGAGGGGTGCACCTGGCTGCCATTGCTACCCTCCGTGTGGGGAGTGAGTGCTAAGCAGGCAGTTCCTTCTGAGGCTGCCACCCCACCATGCTCACTGGGGCCCCGCAGCCCAGCACACCAGGGTCTCCCGGGTCTCGTTCCTCCTCGCCTGAAGCGGCCACTCTGAGCCAGACAGGCAGAGGCCACAGCTGCCCAGGGTGGGGCCCAGGACCCGCTCCTTCTTGTGTTGACTCAGTGAGCAAGTATTGAGTGCCTACTGCATACCTCGCCCTGTGCTTGTCCAGGGAGATGGACAGGTAGGCAGATCCACAGTGCTGTGGAATGTTCTGGATGCTGGAAGGGGGACTCAGTACAGGGACCCCATGGGGTGGACAGGAGCTAGAGGTGTGAGGGAGAGGCTCCTCAGGGCAACCGGGAGGTGGGAGGCATGTGGGTGGCAGGTAGGGGCACACTGGCACAGGCGGAGTGTGCTTGGGCATGATCAGGGCTCTGGTGAGGACCAGGGGCCACAGGAACTTCTGCAGAAATGGAGACCCCTGCAGCCTATGTCCTGGGCCACGCCCTGGCAGGATTCTGTCTGGAAAGTGGGTATCCTGGGATCCCCAGGTCACCCCCAAGGAGCAGTGAGAGCAGAGGGGAGGCGGGGCACTGAGTGGACTGGACCAGTGCAGAGCCCAGGCCCTCTCTACCCTCCCTTCCTCCCCAGTCCCCTCTTCCACTGCCCACATGGCCTGAGGGAAGCTCGCTGCATCCTCTTCAGGGGCCCTCGCCCATCCACCTGCCGAAACAGAAGGCATCACCTCGGCCCTGCTCAGACCCTTGCTGGAGCTCCCACCATGATCTGCTGCACCAAGCCCACACCCAGCCTGGCTCCACAGTCCCCACGCACCCTCGGCCCAGGGTTTCCACCGAGCTGTCTCCTTAGCTCCCGTTTCCCCTTGGCTGTCCTTTCCCTGCTGACCTACTGTCCCCCCCACACTGTCCCCCCACCACACTATGCCCTCCACCACGCTATCCCCTCCATCACGCAGTCTCCTCCACCACACTGTCCCCCCACCACACTGTCCACCCACCACACTGTCCACCCACCACACTATCCCCTCCACCACACTGTCCCCCCACCACACTAACCCCTCCACCACACTGTCCCCCCACCACACTGTCCCCCCACCACACTGTCCCCTCCACCACGCTGTCCCCTCCACCACGCTGTCCCCTCACCACGCTGTCCCCTCCACCACGCTGTCCCCCCACCACGCTGTCCCCCCACCACGCTGTCCCCCCCACCACGCTGTCCCCCCACCACGCTGTGCCCCCACCACGCTGT